CCAAAAGACATAATTCTTAAACAATAAACCCCCAAAAGTGTGAATATCCCTTTAATCTACATCCTACCTTCCTATACTATGGAATTTACATTTTGAAAGGAAAATATCCAATATTAGTTTATGACAAAGTCAGTTTTTTTCCTCAATTCAATTGAGATAATTGCGCGTTGTTGTCGTGAACTTTGAAAAGGGGGCAAAAACACTTTGTTTCAATTTATTCCTGATTTTGTTGCTCCTATACACACAAGTTGATCAAAAAAATGATTGATGTATAGCATTTTCGTGACTCTAACGACATCTCATTTTTGTTTTATTTTTGTATCCTCTGAAGGGGATAACAACATGGTTGGAAAAATGTTTTGAAATTAAATTATTACGGATTTCTCAGCTAAGGTAAGAAAAATCCAGAGCTTGAAGTCGACTCGACTCCTTACAAATTTTCATCAACTTCAAGCCTTGGAAGTATCCATCAAAACTTATTCTTATCATGTTGTTATCCCCTTAGTATCACCCCATCCATAAGCTTATTCTCCGTGGCATTCTATTTGATTCTAATTTTATTGCAAGAATTTTTTCGTACATCAAGTTTCACTGTATACTTTTAGTATATTTGCTAGTCATTCTTCTGTTCTCCGACGTAATCAACTGAATAAATAAATTTTTGTTCTTACTATATGAATTTATATGTGACAACTTTTTTGACATTCAACAGAGAAGTTCTACATTAGGCTAGTGCGTGAGTGAAGCTTGTCATGGTTTTCTTTCCCTTTCTTGACTTACTTTTTCACGTTAACAAGATCAAAAAGTTTCTCTTGTGATGCTAAACACAAAAAAATATGAAAATAAATAAACGTCAAGGAGGAAGATGAAGTCATAGCAAAGTAAACTCACACCATGACTCTTATTTGTTCAGGGACGTGGCTAGGGAGGCAAAACCTAGTTTTCGATGGAAGAATTCTTTAATTTTCTATGATTTTTTATAAGAAAATATTTACTTCTCATCTCCTAAACTTTGTGGACCAACCAAAACATTTCTGAATGAAGCATTTATCTTGCAAGTGCTTTGATTGACTTTGGGGAATAATAACGCGAAACAAAAATCAGAAGGAAGCAACATTTTCTTCTTTTTTGCAATCAAAGGTGCTTTGAGAAATTTTTTTTCTTGTAAATTTGATTTTTTTTTTCGTCTTTTGAAAAGTAAAACTTTCATCTTATTTGTTGTTATTGTGTACATTCAATTCCAAAGTATTTGTGACTATAATTTTGCAAACATCATCAAAAAATGGATATAAGATTTAAATTGGAAATGGATGCAAAAATCCCTGATGAGCTTTGGGCGCAAGTAATCAAAGATTTTGGGAATCATTATGTTCGTCATAAAGAATACAAGAAGGCAAGGAATAACTATCAGAAATCATTGGAGAGACAACCTGAAAAATTAGATTCCGCTTATCGACTTGCTGCAGTTCAAACTTTGGATGGAAAACTTGACGAAGCACTTAAAAACTTATACAGAAAGTCTTTGCTAGGTGAGATTTAACGACTAGAAATGTTGAAAAATAACAATTTGAGGAAAAGAAAAAAGATTCAATTTAATAAATTTTAGAGCTGATTTTTTGTCGTCATTGAAGCAGCTTTGCCAACAAATATAAAAGCATTGTTAAAGAAATTTTTTGTAGGAAAATTAAAAACTTCTAGCTATTCTCTGATTGCGAACAAGTTTAAGAATATTGTGAAACTTTTCAGTGATACCATAAACAATTTTTTATGTTTTTGAAGTGGATATGCTTTTATCTTAGTTTTGAGGGCTTTCGAGTCATTGGGTGACTATCGGCTATTGTTCACTTTCAATTGGACTTTTTTTTTCAACACTCTAGTTTAATTTAAATTGGGAATTTTAGTTCTTAAACACAACTTCTGCCTCCCTACTTTAAATGATATATGGCACAACTTTGAATTTTTGAGTCAATTCAAATTATTTTTCACTGTTATATTTTTAAAAAACTTAAAAACGTTATTAAATTTAAATTATTTTTAAACGTTAAGTTTTTAAAATTTGTAAAAACCGTTTCTAAATTCAAAATAATTTTCGACTTTAAACTTTTCAAATTTTTAAAAAACGGTATCTTATTCAAATTAATTTTAAACTTTAGATTTTTAAAAAAATTTAAACCGTTATTAAATTTAAATTAATTTTGAACGTTAAACTTTTCAATTCTTTTTTAAAAGCTGTTATTATTTGCTTCCAAAATGTTCAGTACACTTGACTCTGCATCAGTTAAATTGTTTAAACTCTCTTGCTAATTTTATAGCCCCGAGTGGACAAAGTACTAGTTAAAAGCTTGTCATTGACTTGCGTGTTCATAACGAGTAAGTATCCATTGACGTGCCTTTGCAACTAGACTTAGGGACGACTAATGACAACTATTGAGTAAAATTAAGTTAATATGAGCAAAGTGTAGTTAAGTATTGTAAAGTGAAGCAAAGTAAACCAAAGTATAGTAGAATGTAGCAAAGAGTAGCAAGTGTAGTTTAGGTATAGTAAAATGTTGTAAAAGTATATTCAGTATAGTAAGAGTATAGCAAGTGTAGTAAAAGTATGTGCAGCATCCTAAAACTGTAAAACTTTAAAAACCAAAATGTTTAAAGTTGATGTGCAATAATTTTGAAATAATGCATATTTTACCATACCATTTAATTATAAATAGTCAATATTATCGCAACTTAAGAACCGCTTATTATTTGAAATTTTATGCATTAAAATTCTTTTGAGTCTTGAGAAAATATTGAAAATATTAACAAAGATAAAATGAATCTTTTCTCATATAAATAAAATAAAACTGGTAAACTAAATTCAAATATTTCAACATTAAGGATGTCTTCCAAATTTCGAAGAACAGTAACGAAAGAAAAGTGCACTCATAGAAATAATTGTATGGTTTTGAGGAAAATCAAATATTCAAATATTTGATTTTTCCGATTTGTATGAAATTTCAAATATTCGATATTTGGTTTTTTTTCCAAAACCATACAAATTCTAATATTTTTTCTATGATTTTCTATGATTCTATGGTTTTAGGGAAAATGAAATTTTATCAACACTTTTGATATTTATTTTTTAAAAATTTGTTGGAAAGTTAATCTTGTTGAAATAAAAAACTAGCATATTATAAAATAAATTTAAAATATTCCTTTTCCCTTCATTCAATTTTGAAATGCCAACAAATTGAAACTAATTTATATCAAGCTTGTTTTATAGCTTTTTTAAATATTTAAACTTAATACAAATTGTCCTTATTAGTTTTTTTTAATGTAAGGTTGCATAAAAAATCAAATTCGAGTCAATTCGAGAAGAAATTCTTAAAGCTAAAGCAAAATTTTTTATAATTTTTTAATAATTATTAAAAACATTTCTTCTGAATTTTAAAATAAAGTTTTCAATTAAAAATACTCATCTTTAAAATCAAAAGTACAACATTTTAGGTTTTTTTTTAATTTTTCAATTTTTCTATACTATACTTTTATTTTTGACAAATTTCCTTACAAACTTAAGGTAATAATCAGAGATCGAAGCCGATTTTTTCGGCTTAACTCAATTTATGATTTTTTTGATAGAAAAAAGCCATTTGACACCCATTTCAAGTATTTAAATTGAACTTTACATGCTTTACTATGATTCTGCGAATTATTTTGTCAGCATGTAGCTATAGGAAGCTCAGAATTTCAAGTTAAAGAATGTTAAGCCGAAATTTAAGCCGATCGGCTTAAAATCGGCTAAATTGAAATTCTGAGCTCACTATAGCTACATGCTGACAAAATATTACACAGAATCATAGTAAAGCATGTAAAGTTCAATTTAAATACTTGAAATGGGTGTCAAATGGCTTTTTTCTATCAAAAAAATCAAAAATTGAGTTAAGCCGAAAAAATCGGCTTCGATCTCTGGTAATAATTAGAAATTTCTTTGGCATGAATGAAATTATTTCTGCCTTAGCAGTATTATTTCTTTATGTTTTTGTAAGCTCTTTCTTTTCCATCAGCTAAATTTGGTTTAAAATAATAGAATAAAAAACAAATAAAGAAATAATATTTTAAATTCTATAACCTTTAGTTAAGTTTGTAAACATTTTCTTTTAAATTTTTTTTTGAAAGTATGAGTATAACGTATTAATGGACCACATGTTTAAGAGACCTTTAACTATTTAGATTGAAATTATGCACTAATTAATTTGATTAGAAATAAAGTATAGAAAAGTAGGATTAAAGTGCACTAAAGTGTAGTAAAGTGTGAAATATTTAAGCTTAGTGTGGTAAAGTGTACTAAAGTATAGTAAAGTAAAGTAAAGTGTAGTAAAGTATAGGTTAGTGTACTTAAGTATAGTAAAAAGAAGTAAAGAGGAGTTAAGTGCAGTAAAGTTTAGTAATTGCAGTGATTGTGATACATTTTATAGTAAGTGTACTGAAACATAAGTAAAAATTTGTAAAGTTGAGTAAAAAAGTAGTGATTGCAGACATAGTGCAGGGAGTTCTATGGCCTTGATTTTATTAGTGTAATTAATTAATTAAAGTACACCAACACTTATGAAAAATCTCTAGTAAACATTGAGTCTCGAACACTTGCCTTATATAAGTGTTTTCTGAAAGCGCTTGTGAAGTATATGATCAAAAAAGTAAGAAAAATTATTTTTGAGTTACGAGCACTTGATTGATTAGCATGAATGTCCAGTTAACGTCTAGTTCTCTATGTCGTATATATTTCGGCAAGTTAAAAGAATGTTAAATGATTGTCCAATAATGGACTTTAACTGGCTGTGTCCACCCGGGAGCTTTAAGTGCTTCAATTTGTTTTTACAATTTAAGTTGCTTCCTCTTCATGAATTCTAAATGGTGAACGACGTTAGCAATTATGTTAAATTTCAACCCTCGCAAACCCACAAGCTTGTAAACACATTTTCTTACTGCATTTATTCATTTTAATTATTTTGCCTTATCAATAATTTTATTTGAAGTAATTTCTTACGTCAACATTAAATTAAATGGTTAAACATTTATTTCATTTGAACAGCAACTTATAAGGACCATTTCAACTGCAATTTACAAGAATGCGATTGCCTGTTTGAGAAAAATGATTTTGAGAAAAGTATTTTGGCTATAAACCGCAATAAGGCTGCACTCAAGGATGTTACATTGGATGTCCCACATTGCGGTGATTTGACATTTCAAAAGTTAAATGATGCGAAAGAAATTGGACCAAAAGTGACGCAATTTAACAAAAGATTAGAGATGGTAAGGTTGACTTGTGTTTTTGCAACGGCTTAATTAATTTTAAATTTAAAAATGCGGGAAAATTATTTGAAATTGAAAAATTCGTTACTCAAAAATTCAGAAAATTATTCATTTAATCAATCAATACAGATTCGCACAACTTATGAAGACACACTGGGCAAGAATGCAGGAAATTGTGTCTACAATCAGCGTCATTTATTTGATAAAATTCTCAACATTTGGCTGCCACCAAAATCATATAAAAAAATCGAGCCATTAGTGCTCATCGATAAAGGAGATCCTTGTGACTTTTCATCACATAAAGAAAAGATTGTGGTACCAAAGACGGTTAAGCAAGAATATCGAGCTGAAAGGACACGAAGATTTTTCACCCAAAGCTATATGCAGGCAGCATGGGAGGATTTTATATTTATAAATGATTTAAAGACAAACAAAGTTTTAAAGAAGTCGACCCAAAATGCTGAAAGACATGAGAACATCCACAATGTTATTGACGAATGCATTGAGAAGAACTGGAAGATAATTGTAATTTAATATTTTTTTAACATCCATTCATTTGTTGTTGTAGGTTTTTAAAAATACTCAAAAGTTGTTGATTTTTTTTGGTTATTTTTATTGGATCTTCAAAGTTAATTTTTCTCGGGAAAGTGCCTTTAAAATGTTTTTACAAAAGTTCTTCTTGAATTAGATGAAAACCAACCCACGATACTTTTGTGTTTTTTGTGGATAAAAATACTCGCTCGGTTGCTTAAGTTCAAGACTAAATGAAGTGTTTATTTTGAATGGTTTTCAACAGCTAGACACAACTGAACATGACATGAAGCTGAAGAATAATTATAGAAAATTATTTAAAAATAAGTTTGATATTTATTGAGAATCATGTCTGGGTTATTGACTTAGTCTTTGTTAAAGCGATGGTATATTGACTTTGGGAGTGTTTCAACTTTTAGTGAAGAAGGAGGTTTGCACTTTGTAGCACTCTCATTAAATGAGCTCATTTTTATACAACTTAATTTTGTAGTCAAGTGAAAAGTAATTTTCGTTCAGGTAGGAAACTGGGGTTGGAAAGGGGGGGGGGGGGGGGTTAAAAGGGCATTTGGTAGATTCGTCCATTTATTTTGTTAAGCTGACACAGACTAGTCAGGATCTGAATCAATTTACATATACACCCAAATATCCTTTGCCTCATTCGCGACGGTTCATTGCCATTGATAGCTTTAAAGTCATTTCAATCTAACCTACGCAACAACTCAATAATTGACTTCTATAAAAACAATACTTTAACTTTTTTAAAGTCTAATATTGTAAATTCCTCAGGGTCGCACACAGTATATAGATTAATGTACGTTCATCCAATTTTAAAAAATTCAATTATCTTCTCGATAATTTGTAAATCATTTCCCAAAGGCAATTACATGCTGTATATTTTTTTTGTTGCACTGACATAAATTATTGAATTTTATTCAACAGAAACAACTGCATGCCCGTTGTCCACTATACATGAAGAGAAATAATGTTCGATCCGAGAAGTGGGACAAGACCACAAAATTCCGCATGCAATATAAAATTCGTCGTGAAATGTTTACAGCATTAGAAGATATTCAGGCATGTTACGTTGAAAAACGTTCGGAGGATTTAATCAAAATTGCTGAGGGCGAGTTAGGTGTTCGATATCGTATCCATCCATCGTATTTAATGCCACGTCGGAATGAATTTATTGTGGAAATTTGTAATTATATTGCTTTAGCACATTTTGATGATATTATCAAGTCATCCACGCTGGTTAATTCTCACGATTATGAAGACTATGATTTATTGAAGAAACTTCTTGGAATTTATTATGAAACTAAGAGTATCTTTAAGCCTTACGTGTTTGGAGACCAGAGCACTTATCGAGATCCAGCTGAACCGAATACATCATACATGACATTCCGCAATAAAATTGTTCGACTTGAGCGTCGATTATCTCAAAAGCCAATGCTGAAAATTGAACAATGTCACTTGCTGTATGAAATGGCAAGAGCAAATTTGGAGCAATTACGTCCAGACGAAGCGAGAGAAATTGGTGAAAAAATGGTCGAGGAAGCAGATAGCATAAGTTATTTGTGGCTGTTCCTTGGTAAACTTACGATATGTCGTGCAGACATTTTGCAAAAACAATTTAAGGATGCAGGAAAAGGCATGAATGATGTTGTTTCTATGGTCGATATTTTCAAAAGTCAAGAGTTGAAAATGGTTATAGAACATGCATTTGAGGTGAGCATGGACATGACTTATTATTTTAAAATATTTTGCTTCACATAATTTTCAATTCCGAAGAAGCACAAAAGCTGTAAATATTAATGCTTTATCGTACCAAACATCTTCTGACATCCATTTAATATTAATCCTTTTTGTCGTATTTATTACAGATTGTTAAACGACTGTCATAAAAACAATAAAAAATGGATTGGAAGCAGTTATCATATTTGATATTTGGAAACAGAACCTAAAGCAAACAGCATTTGTGTTTGACAAATTTTTGACATAAAAAATTGATTTATCTTAAAAATTGCCTTTTTTGAATTTATGGAAAATAAATCACAAAAAAAGCCGCACGCATATACACGCATTGAGTATCATACATGAGTCACATTTCACTGTTAAGCTTGCCAAAGAAAAAAAAAATAAAATTATTTAGACGCGTTTCTCATATTTTAATGACAATTTTAAAAGAGAAGGGTGCTTATTATGTGCCTGGAAAATTATGCTCAGACACAATGAACGTCTGAAATGTACATTTTTGAGTAGTGACGGTGATGTTTTGTGGTTAGAATGCTCAAAAATTTATTTATTTTATTATTTTACTTAAAAATTAATGCAACCCGAATGGCACAAGTCAGTTTATCGATCAGAAATCCTGCTGGATTTAAATCGAAGCCAGCACCATGCCAGAGTCATGTCGGTTTTGTGACGGATTTCTACTGATTAACCGACTTGTGCTATTCGGGAAAATGCTCTGTGGCAGTGGTCCAACGCAGCAATTATAAATAATATGACATCTTCTCTGGGATCGTTCACTTATGACGTCCGATATTAACGGTAATTTTTCAAAAAAAAAACAATGGAATTCCAGGAATTTCTATTGTTCTTTTCTTGCTGCACCCCCCCCCCCCCCCCCCCCCCCCCCATGGACGTCATAAGTGAACGGCCCCTCTCGAGATTATGTCAATTCTAATATAATAGACATTCCAACTCAATTTGATATCACCTACTTGAAGTTCTGTAGCGAAACACTGATTATTATCATACGCAGAAAATTAAGAGGAACCAATAATAACAGAACCAGTCGAGAAATTATTCAATAAAATCTTGCGAAGGATGAAACAATATTTATGCTAGACGCACATGTTGTTCAAGTTAGCAGTAAAGTGAGCAAATTCGAATAATCCTTAAAGAACAACAGCTAATATTGGGTAAGTGAAATAACAATAACCCCTTAAAGATGATTCAGAATTATAACATGTGTGTAATGCAAAAAGTAAACAAAAAACTTCTGACGAAACCATAAAAGAAAAATGCGGACGTAGTTAAAGAAAAATAAAGTAGAAAGCATAGAAATTGGTCAAATTGAAGCTTCTTTTCCGAGCGTGTTACGGGGAAAAAAATTTCTCATGATTTATTTTGTTCAATTAGAAACAATGGTTAGTTCTGCTTTTGATTCTCTCTTGAGACAAATGTAATTGGTTCTGTTTTCCTGCTTTTTTCTCTATTTCTATGATGACATGACATTTTCTAGAGAGTGCTGCTGTCATATCTGTTGAGCATTAATTAAATTTGTTATTATCTGTGTATTATGATCCCATTAGAGTAGCTAGAGACTTTTGTATTAGCTCTGGAGAATTTATTTTCAATTGGAGGTGGATTGTGTGTCATCTTTGGAGATCTTCTGGATGTCTTTGATTCTTTTCGGTTGATCTCTGATGTGAATCAAACTTGCATTGCCAAGTCTTTGCAATAGAAATTTGCATTCATCTAGTCTGATGTATTTTTTATATTATTGGAATCGCCCACATACAGCTAAGCATCCAATATTATAGAGAATCTTAAATATTCTGCACTTATTGGAATGCCGTAAGCATTGTCATTCCAAACACTTTTGATAAACATTGAGAGTAGCTTCTGGTAGGAGTCGAACTCATGCATGACAAAAGATAAACTTAGATTTCAAATCTGTTGTCTAGACCACTCAGCTACATACGCCACACCCTCACACTGATAGATTTGCGTAGATAATGTTCGATACCACAGATTTCAATCAGCTCAGACACCACAGACGTAAATTAATCATTATGATTAGACACTTTGACAATAACATATTATTGACCATGCTACAGGCTACAATTAGGCATCAACTTATTTATCCATTAGATAATAATGAATTTTTGAATAGCTTAAGTAACAAGGGAAGCCAAAAAAGTCTCACCAACAAAAGCCACTCCATCAAATATTGAACTGCCAATTTCAGCAATTTTTTGATGAACTCAAAAGATGCCAGCTGACGTTTTGTTTGCTTAATAAGCATGCTTTCATGACCTTTCATCTTTTTTTTTGCGTACTTTCAACTCTTTTATTCAAAACACTTTCAAATCATTTCCCAATTTATATTTTTTTTTTGCAACTATAATTAACCAAACAGTCATTTCAATGTACATATAACAAATGACTTCACTAATATATTTTTTTGAAGCTTTCTTTTCTCTTCGGGCTAATCTTCTTCTTTTTAAATTGCAATTAAATCAAACAATTTTCTAATGAACAAAGCTGCTTTTGTAACAAGCTTAAAAATTTCGGATTGAATGGGATTTAGGCTCTTTTTGTTTATAAAATCACACCTAATGATGTTTTTGAATTGAATAATGGAAGTAAAAAAAAATAATATTAACTTACTCCTTGTTATGTAGTTCAACAATAAATGTGTTGATGGATATGTTGATAACTTTGAGGTTTTGTGTTGTATTGTTGACACTTCATGCTGGTCATAGACTTTTGTCGTTCATCATATTTTGTTTTTCATTTAATTGCATTCAACAGCATTTATTGATTATGTTGTGTACGGCCAAACACCTAATCGTCAAATCTAGGTTTCATATAAATTAAGGCTCTCGTTTCGATCTTCTGTAGGCGTTACGTGATACTTTTCAGGTCCGTTCTGACAATATTCCATTCGTGGGTAATCTTGTAGCTCTCGTTCCTATTTCTCCTGCTACACTTCAAATTCCTGACACGTTCCTTAATCCAACGTTGCCCAAAAATGCCCAATTATGGCTTGATCTCATACATTAAGCAGTCGAAGTATCTAAACTTCTGAAAAAGAACAAATTCGGAAATGGCTGGGTTCGAACCGACGACCTTCGAGTTGCCTTACAAAATTTGAGCCAAGCGCCTTACCTATTCTCCCAGCAAGGTACTTAACTGCTTTTATGATGTGTAACAGCATGAATAACAGGATTCAGACTCAGAAACATATCTAAAATTAAAGACCCCCCTTCCCACAAGAAATCAATTCAAATCATTTCAACTATATTAATTTATATTTCTTTTTATTAACAATGATATAAAAAAATAATTTTTTTTTTCATAACGAGCTTCAGGAAATCTGAAGACTGATTATAAGGATTAAAAACTTTGGTGAGAAGTGAAATTTAAGTATGTCTTATTAAGTAAATAATAATTATAAGAAAATAGCAGCAAAAAAAAACTCTTAAATTTCACATTCAAATTCGGAAATTCGTCGATTAAAATAAATCATTCCATTTTCATAGTCTTCACTAAATCCACTAACATCTAAATATTCAGTATGTGTTGATGACGGCTCTTCTTGCCAATGTAAAAGTGCATTCGCGAGTGCCTTTTTAATGTCAAAGAATGAAGGACGATGACTTGGACTTTTGTGCCAACAATGTGTCATTACGTCTGACAGTTCCTGCTTACAATTGATTGGAATTTCTGGCCGTACACCATTCAATACGCCTCTTATGACTTCTCTTCCTGATAATGTTGGATAAGGAGTTATACCTGTAATTATTAAATTATTTATTTAATTATTGATTTTTATATAGGCAAGTAAGGGCGTTTATCGTCCAAATTAAGTGAATATATTTATGAACCATATGGTCGATAGATGATCTATCCTTACAACCGGGAATAAGAGCTATAAAATCAATATTTTAGCATGATAGAGCTGTACACATCCATAAAGAGGTCATATGTTAGAGCAAAATTGATGACAAATCACCAAACCACATTGGATATGCCTTCTCGGCCAATAAATAGCAATACATCACGAATAATTGACATCCACACATACCTAATGTAACAATTTCCCACAACAATATGCCGAAGGCAAATACATCAGTTTCAATTGAGTAAATATGATATTGCAAAGATTCTGGTGCCATCCATCGAACAGGCATCGCAGGGCGATTTTTAATATCACAATTGCTTTTTGTTTGTCTCGATGCGTAATTCTTGATGCCATCAAAGACTCGAGATGTCATGTCAAACTTAAATTTCTTTTGATGCGTTGAAACTCGTGGAATTTTCATTTGATTTGATTTATCTCTTGATTCCATCTTATCTAAGTCTATTGACATTCCAAAGTCACAAATCTTACAAATACCATTGTGATCAAGCAAGATATTTCTCGCAGCTAGGTCACAATGTACAATCTGAAATTATTTAATGGACATCAAAATTATTATTATTATTTAATTGTAGTAATTATAGTGTCAAAATCAGATGTTGTCTTTCTGTACTACTTACTCTTTTATTTGCTATATATTCCATTCCCTTCGCAATGTCGTGCGCAAAGCCCGTAAGTCGTCGTGGTGAAAGTGGCATAATTGGTTGACGATTTTGTGTATTATGATGTAATCCATTTGAGACACTTCGGGCAGTTCGCAGTAATGAGAGCAATCTTCCACGCATAGCAAACTCCATAATCAGCAAATGCGGTTCTAATGGCAAGAGAGAAAAAAAAAGTTTTACAAATTAATAAAAGCATTTTCTTATGAAACTTTTAATTTGGACGTTCCATTAAATTAGCGGTTATGAAGATTTTAATTAAATTTAGCTGAATTACAGAATAATGAATGGGGATTGTTCGCTTATAATGTCCATTAAAAAGCAAGATTTTTCAAACCCACTTGCTATATTAATTGAACAGTCACAAAAAAATCTAAGCTCCCCTTATTAAATAGAAGACATCATTAATAAATGATCCCCAATGGCAATGTGTTCAACATTGCTGACTGTTATTTTTTCTATGGGCAACACCATTTCTGACTCAAGAGAAAAAGACTCAAACATGACTGGACATTCCAAATTTATTATCACTAATTAATTAAGTAATTCCGTACCTTGTTCCACACATGCCGCAATCAAAGTCACAACATTTAGATGCGATCCCAATTTCTGCATAATTTCGCACTCTGATTTTAATCCACTTTGTCCATTATTAATGCGCTCGGTCTTGACGGCAACAATTTTCGTACTTCCATTAACATCATCGATTTCTGCCTTCCACACTTGCCCGAAATTACCCTCGCCCAATAAGCTCTTAAATCTTAATTTATTGCGATTAAAAGTTGCAAGCGATTCCTCATTCTCGTCGAAATAAACGATGGAATCATCGGAATTATTTAAGGTAACCACCGGACTAATGGGTTGAATGTCATTATCTGCATGATAATCTTCACTTGATTTATGCCTCATCATGTATGATTTAACAAAATACAAAGCAACTAAAACGACAGGAAGAAAACAAAAGCCACCTAATGCGTAAGCTGTGACGTTCAGGTTTTGAGCCTCAACATGGGCTATATCATTTACACTTGTCGTTGATATAGACTCATATAATACTTGTGGTCGGTGTGAGGTTGTTGTATAAGCATCTGATGTCATTGATGGTAGAACTTCGACTTCGATAGGAACTTCCGTTATTGCATTATGGTCATTTATTATATAAGGTGGTGTTGTAGCTTTTGTTGTCGATATCATTGGTATTTTTAGGTATGTAGAATTTTGACTTTGTACAACTGTATTATTGAGTATGGATGGAATTGTTGAAATTATAGCCTTAGGTGTTGTTGAGTACGTTGTAAGTTGCTTTCGTCGTGGTATGGAAGTGTAAAACCTTTTTGTTGTTCTTGCTTCAGTGGTTGTTGTTGTCGTTTGTGTTGTTATTGGAACTGATGTTGTAAATAATGAAGATGTACTGGTTGATACAGTTGTTGTTTCAACAGTTGTGTCTGGAATTTTTGTAGAAAACTCGTTAATAGTTTCTGCAATTTCCCTTTTAATTCCAAATGGAATGACTGTAGATTGTGGGAAGTCATCTCTTATAGTCGATAAGTCATTATCTATGTTAGGTACAGGAATATCTGTTGTATTATAAACTTTCTCTAGAATTGGCATTTCAGTGGATGTTAATTCAGTTCCTGATGTTATAGCTATTGTGGAATTAACAACACTTTCTGTTGCATTTTTGATTAGCTTCGGAATGCTTGCAATTCGTGTATTAAGCCTCTTAACGTAGTTATTAATTGCAACAATATTTCGAGATTTAAGAAATCTCATTTTTTCAGTAGATGACTGTCTTGGATCAGACACATCCATAATTTCTAAATCTTTTTCTTTTGTCCTAGATGATGTCGGTGTGTAGCCTTGTGTATAAATTTTACTAAAATTAGAATATCGAATTGTGCTGCCATATGGAATTAAACTTTCCTCACGAATTCGAGCACTACTTGGAGAATATTTTACTCGTCCACGATAAATCGTTGGTCTAGATCTTGGCGATGTTGTGCTTGTTGTTTTTCTCTTTGCAATTTTTGTAGTCGTTCTACTTTTTAATAAAATCATATTCTTTAAATATTTTTCCATTTTGTCATTTTTGTTCTTAGAGAGCTCTTTGGTACGATAGCCACTGTCATTATTGCTAATTGAGTCAGCTACGAGAACTGACTCTTCACTTTCCAATATCTCATCTTTGCCATCTTTCGATTGTGATACAAGGTTAGATTCAGTTGTGCTCGTTTCGCTATTATTAAGTTTACTAAGTTCCAATTTTGTTGTATTATTATTGCTTAGCTTAAATTCATAATCACATTTTAGTTTACAATTGTCTTCATTATCAATTCGCCTACAATTCCGCTCACATTCATCTGTTAATTTTAATCTATTATTAAGTATTGCTCGTCGGTTGCTTTGTTGTGGAGTCACTGATGGCCACGATTTGTTCTGCTTTTCATCCCTAATTTGTGACACTGTAATTGAATTTAATGATAAATTAAGTTAATTTAATCTTAAATTATTTTTGCATATTAGTTGAGAACCTATTAACATACAGCCGCAAAGTCATGTTCATCATAATTTTAGATACATTTAGAATGGTAAGCTGCAGCTATTATTCTTGCTTATGAATTATGGAATGGTCTATAATGCTTTAATTCAACAACTAAAAGCCCGAGCTTTATAAAAATATATAGATCCATTTTTCTGATTATATAAGAACGGATTCTTAGGTTCTGATGGATTTAGTGGATTTGCCAGCTAATGAAAATCTTGTGACAACACAAGATACCAACAAGGAAATACAGCTTAGGAGTTTTGGCTGAATTGTTCATATACTTTGTAACTCTAGTTTAGCCTTAATAGCACCAGAAAGCGACCACTGATTCATAGCCTTAGCAATCTACTTAGTCAACCATATAACGCCAAAACAAAAACATTCTGACAATTGACGATACTTTCGTGCCATTAAAAATCACCAGAAACTTAATTTGGCGCCAAAAATCTTTTTATACTACTCGGACAACAATATGTTACTAGATTTTCATTTATTTTAGTCAATTACAGACTTCCATTGCTGCATTGAAGTGTCCACACCTTACTTTTGCTATAAACTATTGTATGCATCTAACTGAAACATGGGAAAATGAATTACTCTATACAGTAGCTCGCTCAATAGTATGTAATTATTATATTCATGTATGAGATACTTCTTTTCACATACAATGGATCCACAGAAAGAAGAAATAAAAAACATGAATGTACTTTTGCGAAGCAAGTTTTTTTTTATTTTTTATGAAAGAGAAAGTTGAACAAAAAGAGAAATTTAGCTTATAAGTATTGCACCCAGTGGTTAAAATCCATGTAATGTTATATTAAGAAAAAAGTATTAAGACTGCACAAATGTATTGTATTGGATTAAATTGCAATTATGTATGGTAATTACTGGAGTTAAAAGCAAAATAATCCGTTTTTAAGTCGTAGTCGAATGTGACTTGAGAAAATAATATGGAATTAAGATTATCGCATGTGTGCTTTTTTTTGAGCTGATGATGATTGGATGACTGTTATGAAATTAATTAATTCTAGAATATCTGTGGTTGGCGAGGTAATTCGATTCTAGACATCGTTCCCTTGGGAAAATTCTATTGTTTTGGGGTTTTCTCGTGTGATTAATCATGAGATAATGATTAGAATTTTCAATATACAATACTAAGCATTGTTTTACAAGACTCACGTTGTTCTACATACAATTGATTTTACAAGATTCTTTTAGTCACAGATTCTTTAAATTCATTCTTATTAATAATATATATGCCTTCATTTGTCCTTAGTTCTTTCTGTCATTCCGCTCTAAGCCCCGCCCAATTTCATACAAATTTTCAAAATGGCGGAATCCAAAATGGCGATTTTTTGGTTAATTTTAATCTCCATACAAACCCAAACGATGCAAATATAAAACTTTAATTCTAGGGAGGGGGGGGGGGGGGTTAAGTGCTATCGTACATACTAGTTCAAGGGAGGTTATGGATCACAATAAATCTGTACGGCCAGCGAAGTAAGTATGTAAGTATCATACTAGTTCTTATAGAGTTTTTGAACTTAACATTATGACTAGCTTTCATAATTTAGATATTAATCGAATTTTGGTTGAAAATCAGGACAAGTATTAATTTTAGAATCTAAAAATGTGGGATTGTCCCGCCAAAACGTCCGCAACTGGACTGCATCATCATAATGAGGTCGTTAAAAATCTTTTAATCTGGATTCGAGGAAATAAAGTTAATGACAATTTAAACAAAGTTCACTACAAACCTCTTCATCCTCGAAATCACAAATTTCATAAATGAATGATTCTAAAAGAACTCGTACTTATCAAGTTTCTAACAGTTATTTATAGCTGAAAAGTTCTAAAACATTTTTCAACTTCCAAATCCTTCATTCTTTATATTTCAATTATAACCATAAAGTTGTGGAACCCCAGCGTCTTATTGACTAAAAGCAGTCAGAAAAGTTTCTGATACAAACATTCATAAAACAGCAGTTAGCACGGCACACTAAGCATGATCACATCAATCAGAAAAATTTTGATATTGAGTTATGAGCAGGCAGAATCAAGCTTCCCTAACGTTCGAAAACATAATTAATCACGATTTTTATAGAAATAATAATTATTTCATTTCTCGACAGCACCAAGTTTTTACCCCACCGGGTCGAGTTAATTCACGAAAATAAAACAAGTAAATAATTTTAGTAAAGAGACTAATGTGTGTGCTTTGTTTTTTGCACGATTGGTAAGTCATTCACCGATTTTTAACACCTCAATGTTATTTCCTATAATTGCATGCTTTAATAAAATTTGGATTTTTTTTTTCATATTTTTTTGATTGATTAAGGGATTAATTTATGTGATTACTTCACTGTGACCATGTATGATGAGTTTTTGTATTGTTAATTTGGATTTTAAAGTTTTTAATTATGAACGTGAACAATTTCCTTTTTACAGCTTATGTCAGTTTTTCGGTCTAACGCTTTATAAACTTATACATAAATTAAAGTCAAATTGAAGATCAATATTGGAATTACTGTAATGAGATCATGTTGTTTAATTTTGAGTAAATGCTTTAAATTACTTTAATAAAATGTTTAATTTTAGGCATAGATAAATAGCTGAATCAGTTTTAAGATTCGACCTAGCTTCTGATGTTAATCTTGAATGTAACCAAATGTAATCCTCTCGTTTAGTGATTCTAGTGTGTTGTTGCTCACCAATTTGATTTTCCTTGGTTTCTCACGAATTTTTCTACGATTGTTTCAGTCTTTAAGTTTCTTTAGAGTTTAATATGATGTCTGAAGCTTTCTAAATGGACCTGAGCTACTCTAGTAATTAATATGCAGTTAGAGATTATTTTTTTGTAAATTTTATATGCAGCCTGTAGAACTCCTTATAACTGTCATATGTGCATACCAATGCAAAACAAGTCGGGTTTGATGAGAATCGAACCCACGACCTCAAAAGAGACGATCTCTGAACACTCGATTAGAGATCCCTGCCATTCGGTTACCGAGGTACTTATCTCACTTCGGTTATCCGTTATACACATATAACCAGTTTCATCACAAGCCTTTTTCTCAGGCCTAAATCCTACAGATATGCTAATCGAGCCATACCCACACAGTCAAACCTTCGAAACCCTCGAAATAGTGTGCCTTGAACCAAAAGCATTTGAGTAAAAGCATGAAGTCGTTCATATCTGGCTCCTTCCTACCTTATTAATTAATTTTTGAATTGAATCTATAGGTTTGAGTGAGAACAACGATACTTTTATGGTGGGCAGTGTTGCATTCTGGCCATTTGTCTGAATCAGATAAATTCTGGGACAGAAATTTCTTCATAAAGATCGATTCTACATGAAGATAGAAAATCTTATCTACACAAAGATTATTTCTACATAAAAAATCTGTCTACATAAAGATTCGATGTAGATGTCTACAATTCTACATTCTTCTCTGTTGTAGACCTGGAAAAAATGTAGAATTGTACACATCTACATCGAATCTTTATGTAGACAGAATCTTTATGTAGAAATAATCTTTGTGTAGATTAGATTTTCTATCTTCATGTAGAATCGATCTTTATGAAGAAAGTTTCTTAGCTAGACAAAAACTATTGAAGAATCTACATTCTTCATCTAGTGTAGACATCTACATTTGCAACACTGATGGTGGGGAAAAGCAATGGTGCAGAACTGTTCAAAAATTTTCAAAAAAATGATCAAAAAGGATCAAAATTGATCAAAAAACTGATCAAAATTGATAAAAATGAATCGAAATCTAATTTATCAGTTACGCAAAATTTAAAAAAAAAGTAATAAATGTGCCATCAAACCTCGCATTTATGTATTAATCACTTAAAGATGTAATCCTTAAAAGCTATTCAATTTCCAGAATTGACTATGTCAACGTGAATAATATTCATGCTTTCTGTTTAATAATCCTGTTCAAATTTCATTTGATTTGAAAATTAAAGGTTCTTTTCGTATTCAGCTCATTGAATTTAAATAAAACTAACGCAAAATTACTAAGCTGGATTATTTTTGTAAATTATTTGCTTGACATGTTTTAGAGAGCGACAAAAATATTTTATGACTGCACGGGTTCAGCTATGCGAATCATATGTAAATTATATAAATCATCATTGAAACTATAAATCACAAAGTCATATCAAAGCAGCAGCATCATCTCCTTGATAATTATAGGCAAAAATATTTTTTATTCTTTTAACTTTGCGTGTTTTTCAACTTTGTTTCTCAAATTTTCACTTCCCATTATTAAAAAACAATAAAATTTTTACATTTTTCATATATTAATTCAAATTTACAGTCATAATTGCTGTGTGATCATTTAACAACTTTTATTATATTCTCACGAGTGTAATTCTCATGTGGCTACCCTCTTATTAAAAAGAAGTGTGTTTAAGCTCAGCTTTGAGATTAATTCTTCTTACAATAACTTTATGAAAATAATAAAAATTTTATTATGACAGTTAAGATTATTTCGATAATGCAATATGAGGAAGGAAGTGGAGATGAAGTGAAATTTATAGAATCTTGGAGACATTCATAAGATTTCCAATGACCAAAGATTAAATTTTATTAAACTCCGATTCTACAAACTCATAAAGCACAGATGCTTATCATTCATAACAGATATCCAGGAAGTTGCTAAGTAAACAAGACAGCATTAATTCAAGTACTTTTTAAGGTCTTCCAGTTGAGAATCAATTGAGATACAAATAAGGTAAAGAAGTGATCAAGAGTTCGTGAGTAATTACATACTCGTTACTTTATGGTTTTTAAATCTTATAAGCAATAAATGCTTTAATGTAAATTGACTTTGTTGCTTTGTAAGCATATTTTAGTATTCATAATGTGGTCCATAGTCTCGCAATTGAGATGATTTAGTTGAAAATTATCGGTAATTTACTTTGGGCCGTTCACGTATGACGTCCAGGGAGGGGGGTCAATAAGAAAAGAACAATAAAAATTCCTGGAAATCTTTTGTCCTTTTTTGAAAAATGACCGTTAATTTTGGACGTCATAAGTGAACGACCCCTTTTATGTCTTAATTAATGGGTGGATATGGACGAATGTTGATTGGCACAATATTCAGATACTGTCTAGATGGCAGAAAAAAGACGGTATGCAAACTAATAAGTCAAGCTCAGAAACTAGACGATGAACTTCCAAAAACTACAAAATACTGCGAACTAGAGAATACTGAGTAAAGATTTGTTGACTTTAAGGTAGTTTTGAAGTCAACTGAGAAGTTTTTAAGAATCAGAATCTTAATAATAATAATGGAAAATTTCTTCAATTTGCTAGCATGTTTTGCAAGTTGCTTTTGGATTTTTTGTAAACTTTATCCTAAGTATTTTCGTTTATACAAAACATTTGGAAACTTCCAATTGAATAACTTTTTGCTGACTTCAAAAGATCTTCTGAATTGAAGTCCAACATTTCTAAGAAGCGAGGGCACTTTTGAATTCCTTTTGAGTTCCTACCAAGCACATAATCTTGTTGATTTGTAAAGAATTTACAATAAATTCAAACCTTAAGGTAAAAATGTCTTGATCTTTGTAACTATTGAGCTTTGTTATGCTACAAATTGCTACAAATGATCAACAAAAATTAATTTAGTTCAGAAAAAGATTCGAAAGTAAATTAAAAAGTTTTTTACAGGGCCGTTCACTTATGACGTTCCGGGGAAGAAGGGGGGGGGGGGGGGGGAATTAGCAAGAAAAGATTGTTCTTTTTTGAATAATGACCGTTAATATCGGACGTTATAAGTGAACGCCCCCTAAAGTAAAAAGATTAATCAGCAACAACTGATCAATAATATCAGTTATGCAGAGAAACTCAACGAAGCAGTAAAGAATGAAAGCCTTTTCAAGAAATTCACAGAAGCTCAAGAACGTCTGCATTTAAACTCATGGTGAAGTATGGCTTCATGAGCTGCCCACCAACTTCGAACAAGCCAGTTAAAAAAATAATTTATTAACGTAGTTCATAAGCTTAAAAAAAAGCTTTTTTTTTCTCGCTCGGCAACTTTTTTTAAACTTTTTATGCCACATTTTCATGATATATGTAAATCTCATTCATCAAAATTAATAATTAATCAAGATATAGTTGAATTAAAGCCATATTCAGGCTGGTGTCAAAATAAGACTCAAAGAAATGTAACTTAAACTACAATAATTCCAAATTTGAAATAAAGAAAGATTTGACTAAAGTAAAAATTATATGCAAATAATTTTAAATTTTAATCGATTTGTTTTCCGATATTTAAAGCTTCATAATTAATAAGTTGACCATTATACAACTTAACTATCATTAATTATTCTAGAATTCTCGAAAGACTCTTCAAATGTTCTTAATAAAATAAAATATTAGAAACTTCAACAGCGCAAATCAAAGATTTCCACTTCAGATAGCCATTGTATGTGCTTTACTACCAATTAAAATCCAAAAAAGCTGTTTCAATTGCTCAAAAAAAAACAATTCACATTAAACCGTATCTATAAAATCCCATAAAGTTCCAAAGGTCTCAAATAAAAATTACAATTTTTTTTTGTCAATAATAACTTTGCGGATGTAAAAACAACAAGTTTAATTGAAATTAATAATAATTTACCTTTAAGCCTCTCAGAGAAAAATTTCGCAGCCGACCTATCTCGACTTGTGATGTTCCTGTACACAAGAGATGTCTTGTTGGTATTTTCATTTTCACCATAAGTCGATGGAAGAGCAATAATCCATACAGATATATAAATGGTGATAATCACGATGTGTTTTGTTTTAAATAATCCCATTTTACTTCACTCATGCTACTTTTCACTTTTACTTTTTTTTGTATTATCGAATTTTTAAACTTTTCTTCTGATGATGATTTTTATAATTATTATTATTTTGCTATAAAAACAATGATTTACATTTTGGGTTATTCGAGTAGTTGTTGTTGTTGTTTTTCTTCGTATTTTAAAAACTGCACATTTCAAACTCGAATGACTTTGAATAATTGTTCAAATTTTATATTTTTTACAATTAGCTCTTTAAACCATGGTTGTTGTTCCCATCATAAAAATATACTCGTAGTCTTCAAAAAATGGAAAAAAAATAAAAACTTGTATAAGTGTGATTGTTGTTTAAGTTGGTATGTTCGTATATTGTGCGCATTTTTTTAAAAAAATGGTTAACATGAATTCTTTTTTTGTGTTGCAGTTGAATGGAGAACATGAAGATGAAAATGTTTTCAAATGAGTTTATTTTTTTATTGAAAGTGATACGACTGAATAACTTTCATGTACTCTTCTGGATGCCTGATTGGTTGATTGTTGCATATTTGAAGCTTTTAATGATCTCTTTTGCTTTATTTACATTCTTTTTCTTGTTGGAAAGCTGAATTTTGGTTCATTACAATGAAGATGAAAATTCAAGTTGTGAAGACTTTAATTCTGGGAGTTGAAAAGCTTTTAATTCTATTTAATAAGGTTAGCTAAAATCTAGCTAAAAATCTTCAACCATTTCGAATGCTTAGATTAACCAGTAAAGGTAAGGAGAAGTTTTAATGTACTTAAACTCCCGTAGTAAGATTTAAATTGGATTTTACAACCAAAGCAAATTATTTTGAAAATTTTAAATCTTAAGCATTCAAAACCATTGACAAAAACAGTTCAAAATACTTAAAAGCTTGATTATTTTCATCTTTTGAAACATTAAATCTAAAATATCTGAGCTAATTTTGAGAATCATTTTGAGGTTAAGCGAATATCAAACCTTGAATCACAATCCAGTTTAGAATCTAGATTGATAGTTTTCAAACTTTATTGTCCAAATTACAGTAAAAGAATTTCACACGAGAATCATTCAACATATCATATTTCAAAAATTTCTAAGACTGTCCAAAGGAAATGAAACTGATCGAATTAATCAAAACTTTATTAAATAATTGAAATTTTTGGGAATTTATTGACAGTTGGAATCTTCAAAATAATCCAAAAAGATTTCAAGTTTGAATGAACTCAAAAAGTTTGAGAAACATTGATATAGCTCAGTGATGGTCAACCTGTGTGCCGTGAATTTTATTTTGAATATCTCACGAACCGTATGTGTGTGGTTTTGGTAATAGCTTACCACCAATTGTACCGTGGCTCCAAAAAGATTGTACACCACTGATCTAGCAAATTAACTAGATTAAGTAGTTTAAATTCCAATTTTACGTTACAAAATTAAAATTTTATTTTTTTATTTACTGGCCATAGTTCCACTGGGGAAATGTCAATGGGCAATTGGACCAAACCCAAGATTGATTGTTTTAATAGCTTTTTTATAGTAAAATGACAAATTACAAGAAATAAAATAAAATAACGGACTTTAAGCAACTTTACGCATTATAATGCAGTCTAATAAACTTTCAAAGTATGTCAAATTTTCACATCAAGCAATAACTGCAAGAGCTGATATAAAATTACATAGAAAGTATCATAACACATTTTCCACATCAAGTTTTCTAGTCCAAAACGTTAAGAAAAAATAAAAAGAAGTAAGTAAATCAATCGATCACACGATATTTTATCACACTTTTACTCTCAATTTACATAGCCATACCGTAAAAGTAAATGTTAATGCACACGATCTGAGAGAAAATGCGCTAAAAAATACTACAAAATTCAACACACAGGCACAAGCAGTTTTTTTTTATTTTGTTTTTATTATTTCTCTTGTGCTGCTTGCTGCCTTTCTGTTTCGTCTGAATGGAAATGTATATATACACAGGTGGATACAGAATACAACAAACAATCTGTTAATGATGTCTGTGTATATTTGCTGTATTTCATGTAACATTTATTTATTTATTGTACATCTTTAAAAAAATATAAATTTGAAATCTTTAATAAATAGTTTTAATTCCACAACTTTTTGTTAACAATTAAATCTTGGCTTTTTTTCTCTCTCGCACAGTTTTTATAATTATTCATTTTTTTTTGGCAACATTATGTAACGTTGAAATATCATGCTTCAATAACAAATAAAAATATAAATATTTATAAGCTTTAAGTTAAAAATAAAAATTTATTCTGAACTTTTGTAATGATTTTAATTTCATCAACAACTAAATAAAACAAAGAAGACGAGAATTAAAAACTATTAATTATTTCGAAATCGTAAATCACTGCAATATATACACAAACTCAATAACTTTACTGCCATTTTCATCTTCAGTAATGAGATTTTTTTTTTGTAAATAAAATTCATTGCACGTATTGCGTTTTAATTTTAAATTTTTATTTTTTCAGCACTGCTTCTTGTTTTTTTAATTTTTTCAATATTCAGCACTTCTCAATAATTTTTATTATCTATCCAAATATATTTTAAACACTTTAAAGAACTCGCAATTACCAAATTAAATTATTTTAAAAGAACAATAGAAATAATCACGTACAATTCGACATTTTTTTATGTTGTAGCACATTTAACTCATCTCGAGCGACTGAATTGAAAATGTTGAGAAGCAGAAATGTTAATGAGAGTGTAAAAAAAGCTCAGCGAGAGCTAAAATGGTAGTAGTGCTAGTTGCTGCAATGTCTTACAATATGGTCAGCCACTGCTGGCTTTCTTACATATTAATTTTTTTAATATCGACATCAACATAAAAAAAATGTTTTTTTTTTCTTTTGCTTCATGCACTTACACATCTGGTTATTTTTTTTGCGTGTAATGTTGTCTGTCAACAGTGGAATTATTGAATATAAATTTGATAAGATCAAAAAAATGTTGTTCATGTGCTCTTTTTGCGTTTCTTTTACATTCAATTTTTGCTTGTTGCTGTAAATATTTTTTATTAAATTGGATGTGCATAATGGATGAGGTGTCTGGTGGTTTCTTTTATGAAATTGGGAAATCTGATGTGACAACTGTTATGAAACCTGGAAGTAAGTTTTGTTTTTTAAGAATTAAAGTAGCATTCAAGTCTTATTTAATCGGATGGTGTGATATTTGAATTGGTAGTGCAGTGGTCTGTAAATTATAATGTCAATTCAACTAAATTAAGGCAGAGCTCAAAATGATTTTTTTAATTTTAAGACATTTTTGATGACAAACTATTCAAAATAATTACAATTTTACAATCGGGAATTTATTCATCAAATGTATCAGGAATTTAAAAGGTTTCAGACTTCCATGTTTATTGGCTCAAAGATATTTTAGAATTTTTGGGATTTTTCAGGATTAATGCTGAGTTTCCAAGCCTTGTCAGGATTCGAATTGATGAATTTGAAGTCAAAAACTGAGTCAAGCCTCTTACAACGGTGTAGAACTACATTTTGATCATTTTTGACCATTTTTGATAAGTTTTTTAAACATTGTTGATCATTTTTTGATCATTTTTGGTCATTTCATCAGTACCACACCCTTGGCTCTCATAATTAAAATAATTGTTTCGGAGTATTGCAATATTTGATCTTCATATCAGCATAGAATAGAAGAACATAATTAATAATTTCAAAAGAATTAATCACACTTCATGCCAATTAAGAAACCAAAATTTCAACTGGTTTTTGAATAATAAAAATATTAAAAAAATAATCTTATATCCACCTAAATGAGAAAGATTCATGACTGATTAAATTTTCCACATAAACTTTATTTTTCTTTTAAGAATAATTCTAAAGTAAATTCACTTAAAAGCTCATGAAGATAAATTGAGATGGATTTTTCATGTCTGAGGTAATAAAACCAGACACTTTGTTTATGATTATTTACAGCTGACCTCTTTGCTTGAAAAAAAAGCATGAACTTTACAGTTCAACAAAGTTTATTTTCATTTTAACCGCACATGTATATTTATTTTTATTTAAAAAAAGCTTAATCTTGAATTTACCTTAACTTACTGAATTCGCTCTGAAAGCTTTAAATATCACTTAAGCTCCATGCGTTCAAGATTATCTCTTCATTAAAGAAAAAGTAACTTATAAATTATTAAGAGATTTATTCGTCTAATGGTAGGTCAGCCAAAATTAATAGAGGTATAAATGTGTACAATAAATCCATAAATAAATTATTCATAAGCCGAGATTCTTCGTATTTCTTAAATGTGTGGAGAATATTAAAGAGTTTGAAGGGGAAAATTTGAAAAGATTTGAGTTATTTTAGAATTGATGTTGAGCTTAAATTTCATGAGAAAATTGACATTTGGAATTCTTTTAAAATATCAAACTTTAGAATCAGAATCTTAATTAAATTAATTTAATCCTCAATTCCATAGCAATTATCTTCATCATCATAAATTCATTACCTTCTAATTTACTAAAAACTTGTTAATAAAATCTTTTGAATAAATTTAAATTAAATCTCAACAAAAAAAAACAAAAGAATCGTGTTCAACTGAATATTTTAGATTAGCTCCATACTTTATCAAGTACATTGTTCCTAACAAGAAGACATCCTCAACATGTTGAGCAATTTCTCAGAAAAGAAATTGTTTTAAAACCTTTTTTTCGTGAGGCCACAGAGGAAGATAATGAGAAACTTTTGCAATAAAAAATCGTTAAAGTGAGCTGAAAAGCCTTTAGACAAAAACAAGACAGAGATTTCGTTTATTGGGTCTGAAATGTTGCGTAGGGTGGGGACATTTGACAAAAGAATAAATAACAAAGTTTATCGTGTTGTAAAAATTTAGGAAGAAAAAAGTTTTTTTGGATGACAATTTGATGAAAAGTTGTGGAAATCATTTTGAATGTGGGGAAGCGCATTCATGTACGGAAAAGCTTTTACCTGTCTATAATGGAGCATTTTCAAATTCAATTAATCAATTTACACGCTCTAATTAATCGGTAACATTGTTGGCGAATTGGAAAATTTGTTTTTGACATTTTTTCATCAGCAAAAACAAGAAAGAATTGAATGGAAGTTTGCCATGTGATTATCATCAATCAAATTCGGTTTTGGCTGCATATTTATCTATAATTTAATGACTCTCTTGGTCTACAAATACAATTAAATAATGTATGAGCAAATTAATCAGAATATTTTCATTATATTGATGCTATAAATTAAATTAATTAATTTTATAAATAAATTTATTTATTATTCATAATTTGGACAAAGGGTCAATGAATATTCATTATCACATTTTTTGTAAGCACTTTACTCAGCATAAATTGAGTAAAAGGGAAAATATGAATATTTTTACAACTCATAAATGAACTTTTTTTGCTTTACTTTACTTACATAATAAATTGAAACTTTGTCCTTACGTATTTTGATCTATAATTATGTAATTAATCAATAATGTTTAATCTTTGATGAATTATGAAATGAAAAGTGACATAATATTAATGATCAATTATAAATAGGACTTTAATTATAGGTATTGGGAGTAATAATTAAATTTGAATCAATCATGCACTGTTATCGTACCTTTTATACTAATTTCTACATTTAATAAGGGAAAGTTAATTATTATTGTTAATTTTTATTTGGATTTAATGATATTGTAACTCGTTTCAATTGGAATGGTTCTCAGCTTTTATTTGTGTTGATGATTCCAAAGTCGATTTATAAATTTGAGCTTTATCGA